TTTGACACAGGCCTAAGAAATAAAATGGTACAAGTTGGTCTGCTTCCCAAACTCACTGCACTTCTAGGTATGTTTTCTTTTGTTCTAACATAGACATTTTGGCAGGGACAGTGAAGCTGTTTGCATCATGATATAGTGTGTGTAAAAGTTGCTATGTCACTTTTCTCTTTGCCAAAGAACTTATTCACTACTCCCAACTTTTTATCATTCAAATCATCTTTTCAGATGCAGGTTTAAATGGAAGTTTAAAATAATGTGGTTCCCAGTAGATTTATTCCTAGGTTCTCTTAAACTGTTGAGTGAGTCTTCTGGTCTTTAAAAATAACTTTAGCTACCTGAAAACCATGTGAGCTGACACATGGGTGATGCTTGTACTTTTGGGGGAGCATGTAGGAAAAATAGCCAGAAACTTCACGGAGCTTGGCTGATGGAGGATACCAACTACCTCTTTCTTTTTTTTTTTTTTTTTTTTAATGGAGCTTGATATACCTGCTGCCTCTTGTTACCTTAATGGTCCAGGTAGAGAGATCAGAGATTTCCCAGCTTTGTCAGCTTCAACTCTAGGCAGTACTGATTTTTAGACTTTCAGCTTGACAGTCTGTAATTTGTGTTAAGATCATGTGAGTGCTTCAGATACAAGTGAAACTTTGTTGTCCATAGGGGAAAGCCATGGAGAAAATAAGGAGTTTGGAAAAAGCAGAGGACTGTCCAATTTGATCATTGTTGCATGCTGGAGTTCTCAGGAAGGAGTTTTTAATTGCTCCTTCTGTGTTCTTTGGCTGACACTATCTAGAGGCTGCTCTAATCCCGCTAAACTAAATGTTTAGCAGGATTTGGCCATAAGAATTGCTAAGTGCTCATTTTTAAGTGGGAGTTGAAAATCTTGTATTGTGGAGCCCTAAATGTGTGAAACACTGATGCAAGACATGTTAAAGCTTTCTGAGACATGTTGGGTTTGGGATGCACTAAATCCAGTGCAGCTGGTGTATCCAGATGTGATGGAACAAGTGGAATGCAATGGTGAATCTGAGTTTTCTCCCCTAGCTTTGTATAGTCTCTTAGGATTGTTTGCCTTCTCAATTTTACATTCAACCTCAATATGGCCTTATTGCTGTTTGTTATACAAGTTAATACCATGAAAAGTTACACTGCTTTGGAAGCCTTAATCCTGTTGGTGATTAATAGCTACTTCATATATCCTGAAATGCCTCAGATCTTTTTGTTTTCTGCCCCACAACCATGTTTGCACTTGATATCCTCCTCTGGGCTGAGCTAGGATGAAGAAGAAAAATGGCATTTAGAATCCCTCTTCTTTATACTTTATTTCCTCAAGACAATGTTATTTGGCAGTAAAGTAAACTGAGAAGTGGAAACTGGACAGGAAATGTATTTTCTCTCATTTGAGGGAGGATCTTGCTAAGTAGTCTGGTTCAGCTTGGATTGTAAGCTTTTCAGAGCAGGAACTTGTCTCTTTCTTTTGTTTGTACAGCAGCTAGCGCTGTGGTCTAAGGCTAGGGCTTCTGGGCACTTGTCACCCCAAGCAATGGCATGACACAAATCACTGAGAAGTCCCTGCTCCCAGAAATTCCCCATTTAATATTAGAGTCAGACTAAACTCATCAGTTAAGTGTCTGCTTTCTAGTGTGTCATGGTTTAACCTCAGTCAGCAACTGCCACTCGCTCACTCCTCTCCCCCGGTGGGATGGCGGAGAGAATTGGAAGAGTAGAAGTGAGAAAACTCATGGGTTGAGATAAGAACAGTTTAATAATTGAAATAAAATAAAATACTACTACTAATAGTAATAATAAGAATACACAAAGCAAGATGCACGATGCAATTGCTCACCACCCGCTGACCGATGCCCAGCCAGTCCCCGAGCAGTGGCCCCCCCGGCCAGCTTTCCCCCAGTTTATGTACTGAGCATGATGTCACATGGTATGGCATGTCCCTTTGGCCAGTTTGGGTCAGCTGTCCTGGCTGTGCCCCCTCCCAGCTCCTTGTGCACCTCCAGCCTTCTCAGTCGGTAGAGCATGGGAAGCTGAAAAGTCCTTGTCTAGTGTTAAGCACTACTTAGCAACAACTAAAACATCGGTGTGTTATCAACATTGTTCTCATCCTAAATCCAAAACACAGCACTGTACCAGCTACTAGGAAGGAAATTAACTCTATCCCAGCTGAAACCAGGACATAGTGTCTGATTCTAATGTGGAGAGGAGCATTTCTTTTCAAATGCCATTGTCCTGGACTTGTAAGTAGGCCTGTGCGGAAGGCTGTTTAGCTCAGAAGAACTGGCTGCTAAAATTCCAGTCTGTTCCTGAAGTGGCTGTTAGGGTAATCTACAGCAAGTTCTACTAGTACGTCCAGAAGCTTCACTGTCTGTTTAGCCATGGGTGGTAGTTCTTTCCTTGACTTGGACGTGTTCGACCCTTTTTCTTTTTCTTTTTTCTCTTTTCCTTTTTTTTTTTTTGCACATGGAGGCATGTGCTGTTTGCCCTAGCTCCTCCCTGTAGAATTGCTTGATGCTTATTTTGCAGTGTGCTGGTTAGAAAATGTAGGTAGAAATATTGTCTATTACTTTACTTGTTACTTAAGCCAGCTCTGTGATTTGTGAGACTCTTCTTGATATGGTGATTCAAATAATTCTCAAATACATCACTTTGTGTATCCTGTCTCAGGGAAGCCTGCAACCTTAATAATAAAATAATCATGTGCCAGATGCCCCTCTTACACAGGTTACTTGGGTATTAAATACACATTATTCAAGTCAGTACCCTTCGGCTTATATTTGCAGGTCACCTTAAAGTGCTAACACACCTCAACAGCTGTTGACAAGTTGCCATACAGCTCCTAATGCCAAGAGGTCAAGTTTGTTGACTCAGCCTACTGAAATGTAACATTTGTGCATGCTGTGCCTTTGAGACTTTAGCACTGGGTTTGAGATGAGTATAAATTAAGTGTAGTAGGTGTTTAAGGGGAGAGTTGAGATTGCAAAGAATTAAAGGACAGGATTTGTCAGGCAGTGGTTTAGGGCTGAGCACTGAGGTGGCTGCAGTCTGCAGTTCTGGAAGACATGCAGCTTTCCGAAAGGACACTTAGTGGCTTGGGAGCAGGAAGGTTCTAAATGTAGGTGGAGGCTGGAAGCAGAGAGGATGGACTGGCTTCATCTGAGCTATCAAAGGAATGGACTAAGTATGGCATGGGTATATTGGAGAAAGGACCATCTTCTTTCTTTCCTTCTCACTCCAGAGTGTTGAGGCTGCTATTGAGAGCATGGACATGAGAAATTCTGCTTAGTCTTGGTTTCCATTTTAATTAGCCTTTTCTTTTTAATAGTGCCAATGCCTGCTTCCCCATGTAGCTTTGCCAGTCCATACCACGTGCTAGTTTTTGCGGCTTCTCTTCACAAGTCTGAAGTATTGTATATGACAAGACTCCTCTTGCTCCCTCCAGGCACCCAAGTTAATCAACTACAGCTGATCTTTGTTATGCTCTGAATCGCAAAGAACTGGGTGCAGTTGAGGGAAACTTGGCTTCAGACTTGAGATCAGAAGCTGGAGCAGAGCTGTGGAGGCCTATGAGATACAGCCCGTTGTATTCAGGTTTTTCTATATACAAGCTGCTTGAAGAGGTATGAAAAGAGATTTTGTTGATTTGTGTGACTTCAGTTCTTTAAGAAAACCTTGTAATTGTTGAGTCACTAGGGCCTTGCAGTGAACTTTTTTGTACTGGTGGCTTTGCCTTAATACTTAGAAATTATATTTACCGTGATCTTTCTTTTTTTTATATACATTCCCTGTGTGAATGCTTTATGTGCCAGTATATGTGAAGTATTGCTTCAGTGGATTAAGGTGAAGATTCATGTGAATTTACCAAGTGGTTTAAACTAGGTGTTTGCCTGAAACATGGAAAACACAGATTCAATGCCCTGTAATCATCACCTCAGCAGGGGAGATCAAAGCAGCACACTATAGAATATTCTGTGGAGGTTTGCTTCACTCTTACAGTGTCCTCATTTTGCTTTGCATGGCATAATTTAAATGAAGTGGAGTAGACGAGTGACTTGCTCCAAATACAGTAGAGTTTGGTGGTTAGTGTATTTGCTTGTGGAAAGTATTCTCACTGAAAGGGGGAAACGTAGAGCTGAACTTTAAGAAAACAGATTCAGATCCTTCCTTTATCCCTGTGAATGCCCTTCCACTGTTGGACAGGAGGGAAATGTTACCCTTTTTCGTAATCCTTCCCCTGGATGTGTGATTGGTTTCTAAAGTAAATGCCCTGGTAGCAAACAGAAGAAAACATTGTCTACAAGGAAGAATAAAAAAACCCTCACTTCTTGTTTGGACCAAATCCACTTTGTTTTTCAGTTAATGGGCCAAAGCAAATAAAAAAAAACTTTAGTACTGCTCTCTTAAAGATATGCACAGCTTGTGATTCACATTCTTCTAATAAGGGTGCTATTTTGTTCTGCATGTGAGTGATTTCTTAGCCTTTGTGAAGTGAGACAAATAATTTTTCATTCTCCATGAGAACAGCAGGCAGTTCGTACAGCAGAACCAGCCGAGTGCTGCTGTGTGTGTTATGGCAGGCTGCAAACTCTTCTTGATGGACCCCTGTTCAGAAGGAGCTCCTGGCAGTATGCAGGTGTGGCAGGCAGTAACTGGGGTTTCTGTGTCCACCCATGAGTTAATTATTCCTCTCAAAAGGATATAAATGATAGGGAATGGTGTGGAAGCTCTTACAATGGGAACTGTGTTGCTGCTTAAAGGGTAAAAGGAGTAGGTCTGGCTGCATGCAGGGAGCAAACATTTTTTTCTACGATGTGTGCATTTAGCTCAAATCCCTTTGAGCTGCTGGACAGTTCTTGGGTGTACTGAATGCATATTGTCCTGAAATGCCATTTTCTTTTCATTCACTTCCCAGTGCAAGCCATGCTTAAAGAATGAAACCCATTATGCTTGGAAGTCAGACTAAAGTATATCTTCTTGGTTGTTTGAAGTTACTAGCTACTTCTAAAAATCTGATTGAACACAGGTATTGGTGAGCTGAAAAGTGGGTGGGTCACAAAA